ACCTTGTGCAGATCCGCTTGGAGGGCTGCCAGGATCTCCTTCTCTTTCTCCTGCACCATCCGCTCCAGGGCCTTCAGCTGCTGTATCCTGAACTCCAGCGAGCGGCTGCGGCCCGAGTTGAAGGCGGCTCTGGCCCGTGCAATGACGTGCTGCATCCTCTCCATGGCTGCTCAGGGCTGGGAGGGGACACAGCAACACCCGGCTCACCACAGAGCCATCGAGGGCTGCTCAGCCCTGGAAACATTTAAATGCGGGACCACCACCGTGAGATGTCCCACCCTGAGCCAGGCTGGGAGATGTTCTCCTCCTTGGAGAGGAGCTCCCGCCCCCAAGTTGACTGCTCGGGGCCCACCCTCTCCGAGCCCTGTTCTGCTTGTGCAGGGTCCAACACACGGCACCTCTCACAGCAAGCTGGGGATGGCTGATGGATCCTGCTCTGTGGCTGCTTTCTCCCGGCTTGGGGATACCCTCAGACCCACCAGCCACTCCACCCTCCACTGACAGGGCTGCTCTCCAAGGAGCCAAAACACTGAGATGAGCGTGGCCTGGGTGGGCAGCTGGCTGGAGCAGAGCTGTGTGCTCAGAGCCTGCCTGCACTCAACTTCCCCATAACTCCAAGGCCCTCCCATGGCTTTGCAAAACATAACAAGATAAAAGGTTTTCATCCTGCTTCCCAGGAGCAGCACTTTTCAGTCAGGATCTGCCTGCATCCCTGCCCAACCAAATAAGACATCAAGGTTCCGTGACAACAATTAAAATCTGCCCTTCCCAGCCTGGCTGCCACTGGCTGCCTGACACAGCCTCAATCCTGTCCAAGAAAGCAAATGACTCATTAAAAAACGAAGGAAAAGAGAAAGTTACCTTCAGAGAAGCTGCTCTCTCCACCAGTGTCCCGCACTGAGTGCAGGCAGGCACAAGCCCTGCCCCTGCCATGGCTCGGAGCGATCCCTCCTCCCACGAGCGGGTGGCTGGCCCTGGCCCAGGGCTCTTGTTGGCTACAAGATGCCCTTTACCCAGCTCTATCCTCGGCTGTGAACACACACAAGCCCTGGATCTTCCTGTCCAGCCGGGGCAGTGACTCAGGGATTGCGAGAGACCACGTGGCTTTGCCCACGTTGGGAGCACGAGGCCGGGGAAGAGCCCTCCACGTGCCACAGCTGCTGTCGGGAGCCAGCACACGCAGGCACGGGATCTGAACAAACCCCAACCAGCAGATGAGAAGCAATCCAGGGATGGACTTGTGCGGGAGAAGCAAACCCAGCCCCCCCCCCACCTCAAGCCCCAGCTCACACCCCATGCCCTGCCTGGCTCCAGGCACCTCTTCAGTGCCTGCCAGAGCTCTGGGGGACCCTTCCCCGTGAGCAGAGAGATGGCTGTGCCAGGAACATGTCCCCCTGAACCGGGGCAGAGACACCTCACAGCACACGGTGTGACATTTGGCCAAGCCATGGCCAGAGCTGGGAGTGGCACAGGATGAGCAGGATTCCTCAGCAGACTCCAGGGACTTACCACACTCAGTTTATTACTTAAATTCTTGGTGTTTATTTAGTACTTGCAAAATATATCATCAAAAAGGCTTAGCACATGGGATTTTCACCAGCCACGAAGAAATCCTACTTATTGCACAGTAAATATAATTTTCTACTCTATATTAATTGCATTTAGTAATAATTTTTTTTTAATTTGCCTTATTTTGACATTAATATTTCTAAGGCTCTTTCACATTCAATTCCTTCAGCATCCTCCCTCCAAGCTAGAACAAGTCCCACATTATCCCCCACTGCAAGATTACAGCAGCCCCAGAAGCTCAAACACAAAGGACCACACACTTTTTCAACATTTGTTTTCCCTTGGAGGAATCCAACCAGGAACAGCTTTGTGCTGGCTCTGGCTGGGGTGGAGTTAATTTTCATCATAGTCAGGAAGTTTCTTCATAGCAGGATGGTGCTGTTTTGGATTTGTGACATTGGCAATGATGGCATTTGTCTTCCCAAGTCCCCATCAGGTGCGATGACGCCCTGCTTTCCTGGGGATGGCTGAACAACTGTCTGATAAGTGGAATTAATGAACAGATTCCTCAGTTTGCTTTAATTTGCCTGCATGCCCAGCTTTCACTTCACCTACTAAACTATCTTTCTCTCAACCTACAAGTTTTCTCACTCCTCTGATTTTCTTCCCCATCCCACTGGGAATAAAGGAGCAGCTGCATGGAGCTGAGTTAACCCACAGGGTACTTTGTCATCCCCACTTCTCTAAACAGGCCTGGAAGTTCTTTTGTATGAGCGTAAGACACTCATCAGCACAATATAGGCAGTGCAGGTACCACCTCTGTAATTTTCTAACACTTAAATAATTTTTACAGCCATATGGGGAAACCCAGAGCCCCAAAAGGGCACCAGCCTGCATCCCCTGACCAGCTGTGGATGATTCCAATTTGAAGAGATCCACGAATATTTCATCTCAAATGTCAAGGGGAACCTCACTTGGGTTCATTCACAACCATCACTCTTGGTCAAATGCATCAGCCAGCATGGCTTATCTCAGACTTGTCACCAACAGGGAGGGTGTTCAGAGCACAACAGGAGAGAGCCCATCCCAAAAACTGCAGGGAAAACAGTCAGCCCAAGGACTGCTTGAAGCTGAAGCTCCTGTTGGTCACTGAAGGAAGGCAAGTGGTTTGGTGTGCCCCTGGAAGCAGCACCCTGCATGGCATGGGGTGGAGATAGGGACTGGAATTTCTTGCTCTGCAGTCCTCCTCCGGAGAGCTTGTCCCCTCTGGTCCCTCTGTTCCAGCATGGCTTTTTAGCAAACGGGAGTCTGAGCCTTCTTGTTGTTAGTGCCTCTCTAAGGCTACTCTGTGTGCTCGACAGCTCACTGAAATCACCCAGAAGAAAAGAAAATCATGACTTCCCAGCTTAAGGAAAGAGACACAAAGCGAGCACCCAGAGCACGGCTGGCACGCGGGGCCTTCTCCTCTTCATCAGTAAACCACCTGTGAGAGCAAAACAACACCGAGGTCCTGTCAAGGGTTTGTGAGACAAAACCAATTCCCTTTCTAGAACAGCCTGAAGCAAAGCCTCTTCACTCGGTGACTCCCCCGGGGCGCAGCTCGCCTGCCTCCTGCCCCTCAGCATGCACTGGGCGGTTCTCCTGGAACCAGGACGAGCCCCATGCACTGCCAGCGAAAGCATCGTGCTCTGGCTCTTGGGGAGCTTTCTCCGAGCCCCACATTCACCACTCTACAAAGCTTTCCCCCCGATCTCAAGCTAGGTCTACACACAGGAGAAGAAAAAGGCTCCTACCTCACTGTGACAGCCACAGCAGTGCTCTGAAACCTGCTCCTCCTTACCACCCGCTGGGCCAGCCCAGCCTCTGCACAGCCAGCACAATCAAGAGGGCTTTTCTCTTCAGCACAGACTGGTGGTTCTGAGAAACCCAAATGATTTCAAGACGCCGTGAGTTTTCCCCCCTCATCCACCTAGACAGGGCCTGCCCCCCTGGCTAGTGCCTCAAAGCCTGAGCCGGTTCTTCGGCTTTGGCATCTCCTCCTGGAATACGTGGGCAGGTTATTTTCCTGGTTTGTTGGGCTTCTCCTCACAGCAGTAATAACACAGACTGAAGGGCAGAGTCCTGATCCACCCTGACACCTCCTGTCCCCTTGGGCTGCTCCCTTAAGTTCACTAAACCCCACGGATGCACAGCTGAGCCTTGTGAGGAGCAGCCAGCGAAGGCACTGCAGCACCCGGCTTGTCAGACACAGAGAACCAACAGTGATCACACTTGGAGATTTAGATCTTGCTCCTGCACCTCAGGAGGCATCTTGAGGCCTCCAGCCAGCTCCAGCAGGCCTCTGCCTCCCGCAGAGAGGGGAGGACATCCCACCCTTCCGCACGGCCCGGCTGGAAACAAGGGAGGAAACGGGAATAATTGAGCTGAGGTCAGACAGGGGCTGAAATTGGAAAAGGAACAAGAGTTCACTGCAAACTCAGGCTTTGGGACACAGCTTCCCTTCCCAGGGTGCTGTGGAACAAACCGCAGCTGTCTGGGCCATGGAGCAGCTCAAATGCCGCTGAAGGAAATCCTGGAGTTGAAACCTCTCCTAACCTGTCCAGAACTACCGACCTCTGCCTCTGGAGGGAGCATCCCACGGGTGTTACCTACCAGAGCAGTGCAACAAGTAGCACAGCAGCCCGGGACATCTCTCTGGGGACATTCCTATTCTACAGACCACTGGCAAGAGTGAGAACCAGATCTTGGTAATTTGAGGCGGAACAGATACAAGAAGTCTCAAGAGAGAAGAAGAGGCCAGGCTCTAAGAAAGGGCTGCAGCTGCAAAGAGTGAACTTGCAGAAGATGAGGTGAACTGCACATGCACCCAACTTGAGACCCAAAGAGACCCAAAACTCACCTTCATCATCACCGCTGCCACCACCCCCAGCAGGGCCAGGACGGCCAGTCCAATTCGGCCCCTGTTAAACCGCTTCAGGAGGACGAACTTGGTCCAGTCCACCTTCTTCTGGCTGACAGGCGGGTACCGCATTTTGTTGGTGCTCTCCATCTTCAGGTCCTTGATCAGGCAGGCGCGGCGGTGGGAGAAGGTCTCGAAGCTGTGCTTGCCGTGGTAGGCGCCCATCCCGCTGTGACCTGAGGGACACGAGCCAGGCAGGTCACCCCGCAGGCACAGCCCAGTCAAGCCTTTGGCCACCTGAGGACAACCGACCCTTCCTCCCCTCTGCACTTCTCAGTCTCTAAGGTGTCCATCTGTGCTCTGCCATAACCCGTGCCAATTCTCCCCAAGCTAAAGTCCTACCCCTTCCACCTGCCAATTACTGCTAATCCCTCTGATTGCAGCTGATGTTTTTAATGCACCTTCCACAGCAGTCTGCACTAAATGCTTTAATCTTTCAAAAAATACGCCCAAAGGCTTTTCCCCTTTCCGGCCCCTGCCCTAATGCATTCCCAGAATTTGTTATTATTATCAAGATCTGATGCACAGAGACCCTCAGGCTGCAACAGGCACAGGGGTACCATGGGTTGCTCCCCGGGTCACACACAGTGGGGTAAGTCCCAGTGTTTAAGAAGCTGCAGTAACTTACCAACACCACCAAAGGGCAAGGTTGAGAGGAAGAAATGCATAATGACATCATTTCCAGTCACAC